CACCTCCTTGACGGTGCTAGTCTATGCATAAGTAGTATTGCTCTACAGGTAAGTAGAGTGAAGTAGACTCCCCCCCCCCCCCCCCCCCCCACAGAAGTGTGGTTGGGGTCTACGAACGAATACTTACCTGTAGAGCATCCCTCCCCCCTACACCACTCTTCTCGATGCCTTGGGTACTTTGTTGTATTCCGACTTAGCGCTCGAGAAAAGAGGACGCTCACGAGGCACGCATGCCGCGGGGTATTATGGGTAGGGCGCCAGAGGGCGCTATTGTATATAACTCTTAGCGAAAATACCTGCCGGTAGGGGGAATATGCATAAGTAGTATTGCTCTACAGGTAAGTATTCGTTCGTAGACCCCAACCACACTTCTGTGGGGGGGGGGGGGGGGAATTACTCTCTTCTCAAAAAAACCTGAATTATCAACAATGGCACATAACCCAGAAAACAGATGTCCTACTAACCAGCAATTGTCTGTTTATTTGCAATACACTTGCCAAGATATGTTCCCCCATAGCTGATTAGGTTGTAACATCTTTCTTATAAAATCTAGCGAATGTACCTGCATTTGTACCAGCTGTTTCCTCCTATATTTCCTCCTGCACTTGGACAGAACACTATACATTATTAACCTACATTAGTCTTTATCCGAAATCGAAGCAGAGCTGTACAGCCCCAATGATATATTAACTTTCAAATATAATCCTTTGAGCTACTGATGGCGCCTTCTTCAGAGCCTCCTCGTCCAACCCCATTGCTAGTACTGATGGCCTATTCCAAGTTATTTAGACACTGTCGCCTGTGGCACAATTCCATCAAATGGTGCAAATGGTATGGGAATTTTTTGGACTGTTTAACTATCAAGTGGACCCCGAGGGTACACCCCGTGCTGAAGCACTCATTATTGCAAGTGCGGGAATTCAGGCGCTGGGCCATCGTGGTCTAGGTATTCTGCTCAGTTTTGAATTTAGCTACAAGATGTTGAAAGTACAATTTTATGTGTTAATGTACATGCCCTCCTATTTGGTGTTGATTATTTTATGAAGTGTTACAATGTATTTGTGTCCATGTCCTTTAATATGTACCTGTGCAGGCTACAAAGAATAAATTAGTAAAGTATAGGATTACCCATGTTTAACAAGAACTGTGGAATCCCCCGCCCCGCCCCCCTTTTCTCCCAATAATTGTGCCTTTTTAAATGTCGCCCGCAGTCTAAATGAAACTAAATTTTAGGCCGATGTGATGTGCAGAAGGGGACACTTTATTTTACAAAATTTGGACCGTTATTGCGAATGTCATTTCAAACGTAGGGTATCGTGAAATGGTAACTTTTTTCATTGAATATATATAGGATAAAGGGATAATTTGTAGTGTGAATTATAAACAAAGATAATTACAGCATGCTTTGTTCTATTGAACTGAAACTCTACACATGTGCTTAGCAGTCATATCTTCACAAGCATACCAAATTTCAATCAATCGCACTAACTATACCCACCTTGACTCTGACCCCACAGGCACTTTCTGTCGAGATATATAACAGGTACTTGACGATATGCGATCACGTGACCAGTTGTCCAAGAAAGCTCACAAATTTCTTTCTCCCTGTGATTGTAGGACTGCCAGATTTTACCTTCTACCCAAGATTCACAAGGCTGGCAACCCCGGTAGACCCATCATCTCCGGTAATGGCTCACCCACGGAACGCATCTCCCTGTGCATTGACAGTTTTCTCAAACCCCTTGTTCGACGTCTCATCTCTGTACACCAACATCCCACATGAGGAGGGTGTTCGTGCTTGCTCCTTGGCTCTGGCCAAGGCAGGACACACGACTCCTCCCATCAGTGATGTTGGCACCCTCATGAGGCTTATACTAACGAAGAACAATTTTTCCTTCCTTGGTGAACACTATCTACAGGTACACGGCACTGCAATGGGCACTCGCATGGCCCCTTCCATGGCTTGCCTCTTCATGGGTGACCTCGAAGAACTCATTCTTGCCTCGGCCCCATGTCGCCCTTGGATCTGGTGGAGATATATTGATGATGTTTTTTTCATCTGGACCAGTGATGAGGACAGTCTCTTGACCTTCACTAACCACAGCAATTCCTTCCACAGAACCATCAAATTCACATCGGAGTTCTCGGCTCACCAAACCCACTTTCTGGATGTCACCGTCCGCAATAATTTGTAGTGTGAACTATAAACAAAGATAATTACAGCATGCTTTGTTCTATTGAACTGAAACTCTACACATGTGCTTAGCAGTCATATCTTCACAAGCATACCAAATTTCAATCAATCGCACTAACTATACCCGCCTTGACTCTGACCCCACAGGCACTTTCTGTCGAGATACACAACAGGTACTTGACGATATGCGATCACGTGACCAGTTGTCCAAGAAAGCTCACAAATTTCTTTCTCCCTGTGATTGTAGGACTGCCAGATTTTACCTTCTACCCAAGATTCACAAGGCTGGCAACCCTGGTAGACCCATCATCTCCGGTAATGGCTCACCCACGGAACGCATCTCCCTGTTCATTGACAGTTTTCTCAAACCCCTTGTCCCACAGATTTCGTCATACATTCACGACACCCCAGACTTCCTACGCAAGCTTGAAGGAATCAAGGACCAGATTCCCAGCACAGCCATCATTGGGACTTTCGACGTCTCATCTCTGTACACCAACATCCCACATGAGGAGGGTGTTCGTGCTTGCTCCTTGGCTCTGGCCAAGGCAGGACACACGACTCCTCCCATCAGTGATGTTGGCACCCTCATGAGGCTTATACTAACGAAGAACAATTTTTCCTTCCTTGGTGAACACTATCTACAGGTACACGGCACTGCAATGGGCACTCGCATGGCCCCTTCCATGGCTTGCCTCTTCATGGGTGACCTCGAAGAACTCATTCTTGCCTCGGCCCCATGTCGCCCTTGGATCTGGTGGAGATATATTGATGATGTTTTTTCATCTGGACCAGTGATGAGGACAGTCTCTTGACCTTCACTAACCACAGCAATTCCTTCCACAGAACCATCAAATTCACATCGGAGTTCTTGGCTCACCAAACCCACTTTCTGGATGTCACCGTCCGCAAGCAAGGCAACTCACTTACCACTGACCTGTATTCCAAACCCACAGACACCCACCAGTACCTCCACTCCTCCAGCTGTCACCCCAGGCACTGCAAAACTGGCATAGCGTTTAGCCAGGCACTCAGACTCAGAAGAATTTGTTCTAATGATTCCGATTTCTCCCGCCATACACAGATACTGAGGAACAACTTGGTGGCCAGGGGTCACAGTTCTCGCCAAGTTCATCGTGCCATTGCCAGAGCTAAAGCTATCCCCAGAAATCTAGCTCTCACGGGAAAGGCCCCTGATGCCATGGCCAAACCCATGATTCCCTTGGTTACCACGTTTCACCCCAATCTCCCTCCCCTTTGCAAAATCACTAATGATGATCATCATATCCTCCATACTTCAGATCGCCTTGCCCGCGCCATCCCCAACGGGCCAACATTGGCTTACAGGCGTCCTCGAAATCTACGGGACTTGATTGTTCGAGCTGAAGTCCCATCCTTAGATGCATCCCCTCCCACCCAGCATGGTACTTTCAAGTGCAGTTCCAGATGTGTTGTCTGCCAGATTCATATCCAGGAGACTGACTCCTTTTCTGGCCACTCTTCTGTCACTACCCACAGAACCATTGGTAACATCACTTGTAACACCTCTAATGTCATATATCTCATTTCTTGCAGGGTCTGTGGAGTGCAGTATGTAGGTGAGACTAAGAATACGCTCAAGAAGCGTTTCTATGCCCACCGGTCAACGGTCAACACCAAGAAACTAGACACCCCTGTTGGTCATCACTTCAACCTGCCTAACCACTCCATTTCTGATATGATTTTGCAGGGCATTGAATCTCTTGGCCATCGCAAGGACTCAGTTTGCCTCAGCAGAGAGAAAGTGTGGATGAATCGTCTTCGAACTATTCAACCACATGGTCTCAACATCCAACTTGGAAATGATTAATCCTTTTCTTCCTCCATTGTCTTCTGTTACAGATTATCCACCTGGTCTTCCTTGTTTGTGTTTACCCATCTTCCGCCATCTTTCATCCCTTTCCACCTCCATACTGTTTCCCCCCCCCCCCCCCCCCCCCGCATCATCCCCCTTCACTCTCACACTCTTTTGTCCGTTCCCACTCCCTGTGACCTTTGATCCTTCCCCTTTCTGGTCCCTCCCCTGTTTTCACCAGACCCCTTGTGGTTTGCCATCTCCCTTGTTTCTTTGTTCTCTCATCCACCCTTCCCTGCATCTTTCCACACCTTTCCCACCTAATCCTCCTTTTGTGTTTCTTCTTTCAGCCCTGCATGTTTGTGTGCACCCCCATGTTAATGTATGTACCTCTGTCATTTCTGTTTTAGCCTCTGAAGAAGAACTTGCTAAGTTCGCAATGTCAGGCCACATTAATTTTTAAATTTCAATCAAATCTGTCATGGCATGGCCAAGATCTTAGAGTGGGGGGTTGGATCCACCCCCTTTTATCCTGTCCCCACAAAATGGCCGGCATAATATGGCATCGAAAAAAATAGAAACATTGGCTTTTGGATTCAGTAGATCATAACGTTTTTAAAAATGTATAGTTTTGCTAATCCCCATAAAACCCCAACGAAAATACATTGTGAACCTGACTATTCTATTCTATTGTTTCGTTAGGCAGCACGGGGACCAGACAGGGCAAAGCTTTCACGCAGCTTGCTCACCTTTGAACAATGGACTTAATTCAGTTAATTCATCTCGTACCTCAGCATTGGAAAGAATGGACACTTTTGTTGCCACAATATCTTGACAATGGGTGTGAAAGGGATGTAGTTTAAATCGGAAAAACGACTCAAAATGTTTCTCCTTAAGAGAAAATGCATTCTGGTTTAATACTTGAAATGGACAGATGTCTGAACTTCTTCTTCATTTTTATGTCTGGCATAGATGCTGCAGTTACTCTACCAGCTGTGAAGACACGACCAGCATCAGGAACATCTCTTAATTTCAACAAGGAAGAGAATCTAACACCACCAGAGAAACCAGAGAATGATGTTGTGGGTAGGAAACTGAACACTCCTGATATTTCGAAGGCCCCAAGACAAATGGTAAATAGGAACAGAGGGCGCTGTCAGCTTGCTGCCAATTTTTCAGTGAAAGAATGTAACTAGTTTCATTGTTTGAACACAATCTTGATATATTGAGGGTAACAATAAATCTTCACATATATTGGTACTTTTACCTTTTTTGATTTGGCAGGCATATGGCAGACTGTTTGCCTCGACATGAAAATGTTCGAATTTTGCAAATGCCAGTTGTGGTTTATTCTACTAGCACTCAGTTTCTATTTTAAGATGGTGCACAGTGTCTGGAGTAATGTTTCCCTCGGACTGCGATGATTTGAACGTCAAGTGGGGGGGGGGTGTTGTTCAAGTTACATTTCTTCTTTCTTCCTATGTCATGCAGTGGCGCACCCAGGATTTGGTTTTGGGGGGGGCTCAAAAAATTTTTTTTTACAAATTTGTTTAAATTTGAATTTTTTTCAAAAACTTTCGCCCAAAATATTTGGCCGCATAAAAAAAAATGTTTGTTTTTTTGAGGGGCGGCCTATTTTGTCATTGGTGGCGCCACTTACACCCCTAATATACTACTGGAAAACAGGCCACATTCATATCACCAAGGCCAAATCGTGGGACTAAGAAAAAAAATACAAAAAAAGTACAAACAAAAAAGCCCCCCCCCCCCCCCCCCCCCCCCCCCCCGGGTACGCCACTGATGTCATGGAGTGAAACTTGGTTTGTATAGTTGTTTCCTAAAAATCAGAGACTGTTGATAATTTATATTATTTCTGAACAAACTGACTAGGTGCATTAGGCCAAAAAAAATAATAACTCGGTCTCTGGTCAGCACGCGCATCGATTTTAATCATGCGCGTCAACTTTTTTTTTTCTTCAAATTAACACAGAAGCTACAACAGTGCCCTCTATTGCCGCACCTCCTCAACTTTTTGTACCAAGGAGCACCAAGGAATGGGGAAATTGCACCATGGCAAATGATAAAGGGCACCAAGGCAAATTTTGGAGGACACCAATGTATAATGGGGACACAAAAAAGCAAAATGGTACCCACCTTGTCTGTACAATTCAAGATTGGAAAAAAAAAAAAAAAAAAAAGCCGCGTCGCCGCATCAATTCTGGAACTTCGGTCTGACCAGAGACCGATTATTTATTTTTTTTGGCCTTATAATGTTTTTTTTTTAATTGAACAAAGAAATTGACTGCAGCGGGGTTTGAACCTGCGACCTTTGTATTGCCGTTCTGGTGCTCTACCAACTGAGCTATAAACTCTATAATTACAAAGTTTTAATAAAAAGCTGTATCTCCTTTGAGTGATCCCCATTCGCTATTTCTCAGGTTTGCACTGGCTACCTGGCATATAAGGGTTTATAGCTTCTGACTAGAATCCTGTGAACAAAGTCATTGACAGCCAGCATAGAGCTGGTAGAGCATCGGAATGGCAATGCAAGGTCGCACAATTAAATTATTTTTGGATGCAGTTGGTCCGTATTATATTTGTAAATCAGGTCATTGTTTTGAAGGGGTAAGCATGTATGTTTAAAAAAGCAGCGGTTTTGCACTTCAGCAAGTTCATATACTATTTACATATCATTGGTAAACTGATCGATTTCCAGTTCATGTTGTCAGGTTTTTGTTTATTTGAGCACAGTTCATAACAACTTACCTGCTTGGTTGTTCTGATTATTTTGATACTACTTTTGTGTCTGTGATCATCAAAAAAAAGTTGCATAAATTTAGCTGGGTTAGGTGGGTGACGATATGTTTGGGTCAAGTGCCGTTTAAAATGCCTCAGTTGTTACAAGTTAAATGTCACTATTGTGCACCTGGACTGATCTTGTTGTAATGGGGATCTCGGGTGAAGCAGATACTAGAAAAATAGCAGTGAAGAATATGAAGAGTAATCCCGCCCTCGCCTGGCTACCCAAAGTCAGTTTCCACAGCTGTTATAAAGTTAAACACAATTGGGGAATACAATAAATGCAGAATTATGAAGTTGAGTGAAGTTGAGAAACAGCTGTTATGCAATTATGATTCTTTAAAGTTTTTTTTTTTAAATGGATATGCATTTTGGAAATAAACTCTTCATATAGACACATCAAAATGTCTTGGTACAGATGAAACCCTGTAAATGCTCATTTTTCTAATTACCTAGGTTCATGTTGTATTAATGCTTGCACATAGTTATTTACTTTCTTAGTAGAAACTCATTTTTACTAATTTACTAACACATTACAAATGCCTCTGTGCACACCTCTTAAAAACGAACCTATTATACATGTAGGTTTGACTTGAATAATCAGCATGTTGAATGAGATGCAGCATCAGCTGGACCAATTATTCTTTACAATACATTAAAAGACATACCACATCAATCCTAAATGTCATAAAAAGAGAATCTTAAATTGAAGATGTTTTTTTTTATTATGTGTTTTAATTCATTTGCTATTATTTATGCTCATATACAGTTGCATCATAGATTAAGAAACAAATGCTATTTAAATATTATCACATTATTTAGGGTTTACGAAACGACAATGCTTAACGTAAAATAAAAGACAATGCTTAAAGTTAGCTTAAAACAAGATGTAAAATATGGATAGATTTGTTTCGTTTTTTTTTAATTTCAAACACCTTGCTTTCAAACTGACAGATTATTACAAAATGCCCTTGTCTATACACTCATTCATGTAGGTACAGATTGTGCTGGCACCCAGGCACAATATGTGACCATTCACTCAATGTTTTCTTTTGCAAGGTAAGCAAGGTACACTTTAATGGTTGAAAACAAACAGCTGTTTTTTTTTTCCCTGGTACCATTGGCCTTGACCAATGACAGGTCTACTTCGCTCAACTTACCTGTAGAGCAATTTACTTATGCATATTCCCTATACCGTATTTTCCACTAAGAGTTTTATACAATAGTGCCCTCTGGCGCCCTACCCATAGTACACTGTGGCATGCTTGCCTCGTGAGCCGTCCTCTTTTCTCTTAGCGGCAGGTCGGGTAGGACGTGTGTAAAATAGCTCCTGTTTTCCTTGTCATTTTTCTACCCTTTTTTTTGCTTAAGAGAAGTTTATTGATAACAAAAGTTATTAACAACAGTTTGTAGAGTTTCTCATCTTCTTCTTGATTTAGTTGTTATATTTATTCGATTATTATGAAGCGTTTGGGGAGAACTGATCTGTCACAAACCGGGGCAATTCCTCTCCCACGGGATGGACCGAGTTCTAGGGCAGCAGTCCCTCGTCCAGCACCCTCAGCCACTGACGGCTGGGGGCGTTGGCAGTTCCACTGACCAGTTAATGGGAACTCGGTCTCCTCCAATCAATTCAAGCAGAACACCCAAACAAAGGGCACGCTCCGGCAAGGTTCCTCCAAAACATACCTCCTGTGCCAGAGCAAAGCCTAAAAAGGGTCGTCATTGGGGCAAGCGTGGCTCAGGTATGAACACCACTATACCGCCCGGTCCTTCCCCAAGCACGGGGCAGCCCGAGGGGACTAACAGCCACAATTCAGTGGGCTCAGTCACCCGTGCCCTCCCGACACAGTGCCGAGTACCACTGGTTGCCGGGACGGGCTAATGCATTGGACCGACCAGTGCTCGCTCAGCCCACAGGGCCTGAAGCGCTGTCGGCCGGGTATGCTATGAGCAATGCGGAGCCGGTCGCCTGGGGGGACCCCGGACCAACGGCCCCTGTTCTATCTCGCTCTGAGGGACCATTCTCGTTATCAGATTTTTTCCGTGCCCCAGGTTCTTCCGACTTTTCCTCTGTCACAACGCGGGCCGTTCTTCAAAGAACAACAACAAGAAAAAGAAGGGTGATCGCCGATCTTCGGACTTTGACGGCTCCTCTGACTGGTCCCACCTGGGCAAACGCTCCTGGGGTGAGGACTCGATCTCGAGGTGAGGACTCGATCTCGAGCTACGCTATCGGCTATGTCTGCAGGCCGCCAGGCGGGCCCTATTGGTGGCCCCCCTGAAGCGGCGAGCTACGCGCCCCCCCCCCCCCCCCCCCCCAAAAGGTTGATCTCACAGTCTTCAGTCACCGGTCACGGTTGGGTGGCCTGTGAACACAGTTAGCCATGCTCCGCAGTCCCTACCTGTAGTGAATGCTTCACAGTCGTCATTCATTGGTCACGGTTGCGTGGCCCAAGCACAACGAGATACATGTACGTGTACATGTACAGTGTATGTGTATATTATGTTCGTATATTATGTTCATATACATGTATAGCACTCACGGTTGCATGCACCGGTGGCCCGGCCTACGGCGAACGAAACTTCATATTCGCCAGCCGTGGGCCACGGTTGGGTGGACCAGAGACAACGGGACCTACCGCACACAGTTAGCCGTGCGCCAGGATCCCTGCCTGTGTTTAGTCTTCACCCATCTATGTCTATTATCTCGGAGGGTGTTGCCCAGCCACCGCCGCGTGGTTCTGTGCAACTAGCCCCTCCAGACGGCTCTCATTTTCCGGGGTCAACTCAGCCTTCGCAATCGGCTGATTCATCCGATGATGACGAAGAACCAGGCCATTTACAACGGCTGTCCATCGCAGAAACGGAACTCCGTTTGCTGCAGAGGGACATGATACGGGTACTTGAATTACCATCATCCGCCAATGAGCCCCCTCCGCCCAATCATAAATCTTTCAAATCGAGCGTAGGATGGGCTCCACATCTAACAAGGACAAAGTGTTCCCAACACTTCCGTTGGATCAATTGTGTGTGGAACACACCGACAACATTATGTCAACGGACAAATGGTGTCCATTTCTCAGGCGGGAACGGCTTCATTATTTTTCTAATCCGGGCGAATTTATTGCACCGATCCCACCGCGGCAAACGCTACCGGGATGAGGACTCGGTTTTTTAGCCCACTCATTACAAGCCTTGCAATTGTTCTCGGCTTCATTATCGACTTTATTGTCGGTCATATACATTTATACACGTATTGCCTGGTGGTCACGTTGATGAAACGGCCTGTCTGAGTTCAGTTGCGAGCCGTGCTCTGTAGCACTCTACATTAGTCACGGTTGGGTGACTCGAGGACAAAGGGACACCCTGCGCAGTGCTTAGCCGTGCGCCGGTGTTTCTTGCTGCACTGAAATCGCTACATTTTTCATGCACATGTACATTGTAAAGTATACAGTACATGTGTATGTACACTGTCCATTTGTCTCCGGGGGATTTGTTCAACAACTGACTGTGGCCATGTGCAACTTGTCCCTCCAGGTATGCTAGACGGTTCTCGTTTACGAGGTCCATTCGTAACTTGCATTACGATGGTTCATCAGATGGCAGCTGCTCTTCACAATGAACCCCAGCCTGAGCATAACCTCAGACAAGATTTGTGCCTGCATCCAAAATGCCTGCTGCTCTTCAAGCAATAATGTGATCAATACCCTTTCCGTTAGCAAAATTCGGTAACTTTTTTGCCACACCTTCCCTCTCCAATGCAGCTAAGCACAAGCTGCCAGCGGTAGAGGGACCCCATCATTCAAGCGG